TGATACGAGGAACATAGAGAGGAGCTTGAAATGGTCTTTCTCTTCCACTAAACGGAAGCTTAAAAAAACTTTAACCATGATAATCAAATCCTGATAGTAGAGGCACATCAAACACAGGTGCAATATTTATAATGTAACTTTTTATCATATTAAATATTACAATTTTATTATTTGTAACTTTTTATAATACTAATTATTACAATTTTGATAATGTTCATCTTAAAATATCAAATTCATAATCCAAGGCTGCTATTGTTGAATGATCTGAATTGCTATTTGCCACATTTATATTTCAAAAGCATCAAATATCAAATTTTCGTTATAAATATATGTATTGCAAGTGTATTTATAAATAATTTTTTTTAATTTTCACCAATATCTTAAAAACAAGATGAGAACATGATTAACTCAGTGGTGAAAAAAACCAACATTTAAATAATCTAATATAATATAAATATAAGTATCGTGATTGTGATTGTTAGGTATATATTATATCATATAAGATGCATGAGCAATCTGATTATTTTGGTGATTAAATTATTTTTTATCATTCACAATTCCTTAATGGATTATTTTTCAGCAGCTAGAAAAAAGATTTTTCTAATAATTAAACTTTCCTTTCTTTTGAGAAGTCAATACTTAGGATTTAACATAAGAAAATGTAGCAACTATCTAACGAATATAGATTTCATAGATATACAGTAAAATTTTTTTAAAAAAACTCATGGGTAAAATAGATCACTAAAGGATTAACAATTAATGGATTAAATCAATTCACATGAAAAATATCATGCAATATTACATCGGTGTTTTGGTAAATATTGTGTCAGTATTTTAATTTTCAACATAAACATGTTGTTGGAAAAAATATAATCAGGAATTTTTATTTTTATCAATATTTTTACCAGCAATATAATGAAATGAACAATAAAATATTTGCATAAGAAAATCAGATTTTGCATTCTATTTTCCATGATCAAATAATTTATATTATTTTTTAATATATTTTTTTAAATAAGACCTTTTAGACTTGAAAATCTTGCCTTTTACATAAGTTATATTAGTTAACTTGCAACTAAATTTAATTAAAAAAGCAGGAAGTAAAGAATTAAAAAAGTTATACTAACATAATTCACAATTAAATATAAAAAAGCATTGTATACCGAAACTTTACTAGTAAAGCATCTCTTTTAAGAAGTGATTATAAGAAAAATTATAGTGTTGAAAGCAGACACACAGCTCTCCTAAATAATGAAGTCCGATTTAAGTTAGTTTTGTTTTGAAATGTTTTAATTAAACACGGATTAATTAGTATTGATCTGATTAACAATGAGAAACACCCTCTTGATCTTCATAAACTATCTTGTTATATCTGCCCGTTCCAATTTCTTTCGAGTATATTGCTATGTATAAACATGTACTCTCGGAGAATACCAGAAATTATGGCCGCTAACCTGCCACTGGTCCACGGTAGGAAACCTGTATGCGAACACCTTCATAGCATCCTTCCCAAGCGGAGCACCACCACACCCCACAGTCTCCAGCGACCTCAAATCGTAACCGTCCGTCAAGACACTCTTTGCCATCGCTACAACCACTGGGGGCGTAACCGCTTTGATATAGCAAAGGCGATTACCGGGTTAAAGAGACTGATCTGGTGTGAGATTTCTGATTCAGTGCTTATGGGATTTGCAGGGAAGATCACTACACCAAGTGAAAGAAGAGAGAAGTAGAGAACGGGGACTTTAATGGAGTTCGGACAGAGAATAAAGGCAGCGTCATTCTTGCAAAGTTGAGTGACATTTTGTAGATTCAAGGTTAAGGAAATTAGGCCAAGGAGAGTGGTTGGCAAGGAGTGAGAGAACATATTCAACTTCTGAGAAAGGAGTTTCCTCGGGAGGGAGATGGATAGGTGGTCTTAAGTCTTCGCTGCGGAGTTGAAGCCACTCTTCAGGTTGATTGGAGAGTTGGCTTCCCGGTCCATGTTCATCAAGTTTTGACTGTAGGCCGCAATGAAAGAATACAAGGTTTTTGCTAACAAGCTCCTATATACTTGTGGGGAATTCCCTTACTTAGCCCCCCCCACGCTATCGTCGTTTGACATCGAATCGCTTATACATGAATTTTTATCAAGAAAACTATATTCGATGTTCCAGTCAATCATTTTATCTTGTGGCCTTTACTTTTTCTTTGTTTATATGTTCTGTTAGAAAGATTGTATGGTTATAAAACTCGATTAGAGAGTTAAACTAGTCTAAGATCCACTAATATAAATCAACTCAAGCTTTTTTTTATTCAGAAGAACATTTAAAACTATATGTTCTAGTAAAAACAAAAACAGTTTTTTTCACTAGCCCATTTTAATTCAGGTTACAGATCAATAGATTATCGATTTGACATGCCATATCTTGAACTTGCCAGTAGAATATCTCGGGGACTCGAACTGGATTGGGTATTTTGGGTGTTCGATGATATGCTCCGAGAAAAATATCAGGCTCGGCGGATGTCGATGATCGATGTGGTGTTAACAGTTGATGATGACTTTTTTCTTTTAAAAGTTGACAGTTCGTTGTCATGGACGTAGAAGAAAGTGGGAACTTATATCATCGTCTATGATGGAATGTTCAATGGTGGGGATCGATCGATCGCTCATTGTCTGGCTTGATCACTGCTCCTCTCCCATGCATGACTCTGCATTTCATCATCAGTAGCAGCTTCCACTACGAAATCCAAAAGTTATTGTTGGAGGAAAAAGGAAAGGAAATAGAAAAGCTGGACTGCTCTCGGTACATTTGTTTAGTACGGTGGTGTTATTTTTTAAATAATTTTTATGTTAAAATATATAACAATGATATTTTTTATTTTAAAAATTATTTTTAACATGAGAATATTAAAATAATTTAAAAATATTAAAAATATATTGAATATTATAGTAAATAAAAAATTTAAATTTTTTAAAATATTTTTTAAACATAAAAATATATTAAAAAATAAGAAATAGTCAATGCAAAAGTTAATTAGCTTGTTGGTCCATGTTTGATCAAGTTTAAGTAGAGTGTCGAAGGGAGTTGTACCGTATTTTCTAAAAATAATATATATATATATATATAAATTTAGTTATAATTTATTTTTTATATTGTTTTAATTTTTATGTTAAAAATATTTTTTAAAAAAAATAATTTAATACATTTCTAAATAAAAAAAGTATTTTAAACCACATTTATTATTATACTTACTGTCATAGTTATTAAATCCAGACCATCTGACACTTCAACTTGAGAAATAGATTGATTTGGGTAACGAAAAATATTGGGGTAATAAATACCCAACAAAACCTGGATAAAACTTTTTTTTTTAAATGTATTTTTTTTTAATTAAAAACTTTTTTTATATTTTTTTAATTGGTTATTAATCCCTTTTAAAGTTCATAAAATAAGTATTAGAAGAATATTATATTTTTTTCAATATGAGATATGAATTCCTTTAATATATGTACTTTATGTTCATAATATTTTTTTTTAATTTAGAATTTAAATTTTTTTAATATATATACTCTATACTCATAAGAAAAAAGTTATATTTTTTTAATATAGAATAAAAAAATATTTTTGTTTCAAATACTTCAACTTAAAAGGATAACATGACATCATAATATCTTTTTAAGGTAGGATACAAAATATTTTAAAATAATTCTTTAAACTTTATTATTTATAACATGTATAGTTTATATTTACATAAATTGTTTTTTTAATTTTTTTCATTAAAAATATTAAAATTTCAAATATTCTTTTCCGGGCTAATCCAAGATTTTCAAATACTTCAACTTAAAAGGATAACATGACATTATAATATCTTTTTAAGGTAGGATACAAAATATTTTAAAATAATTCTTCAAATTTTATTATTTATAACATATATAGTTTATATTTACATAAATTGTATTTTAATTATTTTCATTAAAAATATTAAAATTTCAAATATTTTTTTCCGAGCTAATCCAAGATATTTTTTTTAAATTTTCCCGGCTAATCCAGATCAACCTGTATAGTTCAAAATCCAACTCCTTGACCAAATTAACTTTCGGGTGAGGGATAATAACCATGCTTCCAACCATCTCATTAGTCTCTAGGCTGCAATGGAAATGTATAAGGTTTTTTATAAGAAGTTCTTAGCATATTTTGAAGATAGCATGGAAAATTCCCTTGCTTAGCTCCATTATCACAATTTGACAATATCAAATCGTTTATCTATGATTAAATTGGACATGCATTATACTTAAATTATGTTATTTATTCTTTTCTTCATAAAAAGCTACATATCATTAAAAGTGTGGGTAACTTTTATGGTTATAATTTAAAAAAAAATAAAATTAATTAAATTTAGATATGTATTTAGTAAAAATTATAATTGAAATTTATATATACTAAAATATATATATATATATATAATATTTGGCTATAGTTACTTTTTAAAATATTTTTTACTTGAAAATACATCAAAATATTTTTTTTTTATTTTTTAAAAAATTTATTTTTAATATCAGAACATCAAAATATTTTAAAAATATAAAAAAAATAATTTGAAGTAAAAAAATAAAAAAAATCAGTTTTTAAAAAATGTGTTTTTGAAACACAAAAACAAATAATTTTTTATAAAATTCAATTAAAAAAATATATAAAATTGTTTATCAAAAACTGTATTTCAAACTCAATCTTTTAATAAATCTTATAATATAAAAATAATTTAATATATTATTAAATAATTAATTATATTTTTTGCACCGTAAACATAAAAGCTAGTTAGTGCAAAACAAACGAAAGGAAACAGAAATCAAAATTTGTTTGCTGGGTCTCTGCTCTAATTAGGTTTAGTTATGTGTGCTTCTATTTATTTCTCTAAATTCTATGTATTGGCCTGGAAAAAAAACATCACAGTGCATAAATTTATTTTAGAAAATAACATATATTTGAATTTGTTAGGACAAAGTGCAACAAGACAAAAACAAGAAAAGTCATCACTTGTCACGACAATATCATTCCCGCTACAGAAATTGTGGCATTGGTGTTGCTGCAATGCCACAACTTACAAGAAGCGATTCCCTCGCGTTTATGGCGCCTTCTCTGATTTGAAATTTTGAATTCCCTCTTGCTGTTCCTTGCTTTCTCCTTCGCAACCTTTTCTTCTCCTTTGTTGCTTTTCTTTCTCATGGCAAAAAACAAGAAGAAATCTGCATCTTCCTTCTCTCGTGGGCAGAGATCTCAGTTTTCTGATCTGACTCAAAATGCAAACTCCATCTTTGCGTTGGAAGCTTCCCATGCTTTTGCTGAGAAGAATCAGTTTTCTAACTCTATTGTGGGTGGATCTAGTCCTCATAAGTTTCCCATCCAAGATGACGATGTAGTCGCGTGTGGTTCTGGCTCAGAATCGCGTGAAGAAGATGAACTAGTCTATACTGAACCGGAAGATGGCATCAGGAGCGGTCCAAGCAATGCTCATTCTCCCACTTCATCTCCGGCTAGAGGAATCAACGATGCTGGCTCTGAAGGTACATCTCCTGGTATTGTAAAGTCTGGAGATTTTCCAGCAGGAACTGAGTCCGATACCCAAGCTCAACCAACTGCTCCTATTGAGCTTAACCCTGTTACCTCTAAATCTTCAGATCACACTACAGACGAAGACCTAGGCAGTTATTGTGATGCATGGAAGTCTTGCATTTTGGGTTATGTTGCAGGTGAATTTCCTGGTTTCAAAGCCTTGAATAGTATTATTGCTAATACATGGCATTGCGAAGCCTCTTTGTCCATCCATGAATCTGGCTGGCTTGTCTTCAAATTTAACAATGTGGATGATAAATTGGCAGTTCTGGCCGGCGGTCCTTATCTTGTGTATCGCAGGCCTTTAATTTTGAAATCTATGCCGGAGTATTTTGATTCCAGTCATGAAGAAAGGACAAAAGCCCCCGTCTGGGTGAAATTTCCAAATTTGCCGTTAAAATGTTGGTCTATCCGCTGTCTTTCCAAGATTGCCAGTACGATAGGGAAACCTATTCAAACTTATCGTATAACTGCTTCTATGTCCAGAATCTCATATGCCAGAGTGTTAGTGGAGCTTGATTTGCTTGATGAACTTACACATGCTGTTGATATTCTCCTGCCGAATGGAACCACACTTAAACAATCTATAGTTTATGAGACACTGCCTAGATTTTGTAAGCTATGCAAAGCTCTTGGCCATGCAACAGGTGCTTGTTCAAAAACTGCTGCATCAAATGAGTCAGGGAAGAAGGGCAGTCGAACAGCTCATAACAAGAGTTGTTCTAAGCAAGCAAATTCTGCAAGCCTGGAACCTGTAGTGGGCACCAGTGTGCAGAAAGATGAAAGGAAAGCTGTCGTTGCTGAGCAGCATTTTGACCCAATGCAAACTGAGCTAGATGTCATTTCTGAAGAATCGGAAACTGTCAGGGGAAGGAAGAACAGAGAGTCCTCTGGCAAGGATCTTCCCGCTGAGGATATATGCAGAGAACAGGGTGCTGCCGTTTCTAATTCTTTGGAGGGCAATCTTAAGACACCTCTGGGAAGGAAAAACCGTGGTATAGCTGGAACTGCTGATGCCGTAACTACTAGGAGCGCCCAGAAGGGACTTGTATCTAAAGCAGCTGGAAGTGGTAGGGAATCTCCTACCTCTCCAACTATATTATGATTCTTCTCAGCTGGAATGTCAGGGGACTTAACAGTCCGCTGAAGTAACATGAGGTGGTATCCCTCATGAAGAAAAACAAAATTGATGTTTGTGGTCTTTCAGAGACTAAACTGGTCTCTTCTAAGCTTCAGTTAATGCACAAGCTGAGATTGAAGCAATGGATTGTTGTGCTGTGGAATCCTTCCACAGTCAATGTTGATTCAATTGACTCCTCTCCCCAAGCTCTGCATGTCATTATCCGAAACTTGGAAACTCAGTTCACCTGTGCTGCCACCTTTGTTTATGGTTACAACTCTGTTAGTGCTCGCAGGCCCCTTTGGGATTATCTTAGGAGGGCTCCTTCATGCCCTTGGATTGTATTTGGTGTTCCTTTCATCACTGCTTCCTGTCTGATGGTTTGGATATGTTGGCTGTGTTTTACTTGCTTGGTTGCCGTTGAAGGTTGCTTGTTAAGGCTGCACAGCTGGGGTTACTCTGTTTATTTTGTTGGTCAACTTTAGCATCTATTATTTGTCAATTTTCAACAAGTATTTTGTAATAAAATATTTTAATTTTAAAATGTTTCAGCATGCTATATTATACTATTCTCTCTCACACATATACACAACAAACATAATTCAAATTTAATATAAATTAATTATAAATTATACATTATAAATATAATACTAAACAAATATAATTTTTAAATATTTTTAAATAGTTAAAATTAAATAAATTTTTAACTTAAAGTAATTCAACTTAAACAAAATATCAAAATATTATGAAAGTAAAATGTTTTAATATAAATATTTTAAATATAAAGTTAAATTAATATTATTAATTCTAATGAAATCTAAAGTATTTTTTAATTTTCTCAAATTCTTACAAAATATAAACATGAAAAAAACAACATGAATATAAACTATATATATTAGTGATAAATCTAATTTTAAAAAATTAATATAATTGTTAATGAAAATAGTAATAATAATTTTTAATATTATTATTAATATTATTGTTATTGAAAATAGTAATGAAAAAGAGTTTTTTATGCTTGAGTGGTTTAATTAATTAAATTGAACCGAGTTTAATTTGATTTAATGGCTTTTCAATACTGGAAAGGAATATATAGAATGAAACCGGAACATTTTGATCGAAGTTTAACCGAAAAATCTAGAATGGATCAAGATAAGATAAAAATTATTCTGTTTTGTTTTATTTTTTAAATTAATATAAAATATTTTAATTATTTTAGATGAAATCAAAACAAAATTGATAACCTTAATTTTTATAGGATTCTTAGTTAACCAATTTTGTCATCCTTTTAATATGTTTGTTTATTTAGTTTTTTCTTGGGAGTATATCCGTATTAGGTTATATATATTTGTAATCTTGCCCAGTTGACTTTTTATTTTTAATATATTTTATATTTTAAAATAATAATAATAATATTATGATATAATCTTTTGATCATATAATTAAATTTGATAGAATCCTGATCTAGAATTAATATTATAAGATATTAAAAAAAACATGAATTTAGATATAATCTTATAGTTAAAAACTCTAAATCTACCAATAACATCACAAAACTATATAAAAAAAATATTATTGAACTTTTCTGAATCTAAATATCAATATTTAGCATATATATTTTTAGAATGTATCTCTTTAAAATATTACTGAACTATCCAAAATTCTTAAATCTTTAAAAGATGATATTTCATATGTATCCGGCTCTAAATACAAACTATCAACTAATTTGACTAAAAAATATATATTAAATTATTAAAATTAAAAAATTAATCAACATCTAAACTTGATATTAATCTATTAGGAGTTTTTTACACATAATCATATTATTATTTTTTAACTGATTTTGGCTATAAAAACCTAAATAATTAATTCTTGACTATCATACAGTATAAATGGCTTATTATGATATACTATTCATAGCCTTTCTTAATAGCATATAATTTTCCAACAATTCTGAAATCAGTTCATTAATTACATTTTCGATGAAGGGAAATTTCTCAGTTCCTTCCTCAATATTTTTCCTGCTGGACTCTTGGGTATAACACTGACAAACTCTACTCGCCTTACTTTCTTGTATGGTGCAACCTGCATGCTCTCATGCAAAAGGCATTAAAACAAAGCACAAAATGATCAGATTCATCAATGATGCTGGAGAGAAAACTGAAAAAGAAACGACTGTAAGCATTAGCAAAGCACCTGTTTTGCAACAAAATCCATGACCCCCCTTTCATTGATTCTACTCTGAGGCTGTTTCACCACAAAAGCCATGGGCACCTGACCAGCTTCCTCGTCAGGGTATCTGCAATTTCTTTTATATCAGAATTTCTTTATGTTTCCTATGACTTATAGAATACTGATAATGATACTAAACACACTGAAATCATTATAATTTCTTCTACCAATACCAATGCTGCTTGATTGAGGGGGAAATCAAGGGATCCCACAAAATTGAAGAAGTGAAGACTTACGGTATTACCGCAGCATCGGCTATCTCTGGATGGGACTGGAGCAGTTGCTCTAGTTCAGCTGGAGCAACCTATATATATGTATATATAGTAATTTAAGTATTTAAGTTGTTTAATCTTTATATTCAAATAGAGGTTGAATGGGGCAAGAAACTAAGACCGATATTATGAATTTACCTGGTATCCCTTGTATTTGATCAATTCCTTCAGTCTGTCAACAACGAATAAAAAACCTTCCTCGTCAATATAACAAAGATCACCAGTCCTCAACCAGCCATCTGGATCCAAGGTGGTAGAAGTTGCTGCAGGATCACCAACATAACCTGCAGTGAATTCCAAATCATCCTGATCAGTACTGTCTCTAGTTAATATATAGTGAGCAGCATCTTTGGTTGATTTTCTGATGCCAAATGTCAGGCCTTTTGCTTAGCAAAATACTTGACAAATAAAAACTAGATGTTCATGTGCATGCGTGTGCCATGGATATTTACCTTTCATTATTGTGGATCCTCTAACCCAAAGCTCTCCTTGCTTCCCCGGAGGCAAGGCGTCACCGGTATCAGCATCAACAATTTTTGCTTCGCAACCTGCGGTAAGCCTTCCAACTGAACCCCAATGGCGACTTTCTTCCGGACTATTTGATCGAGACAGGACCCCCGTTGATTCAGTTAGCCCATAACCCTTTATATAGGAACAATATATGAAAGGCGAGTTTGCATTGAAACTAATAATTATCTCATAAAAAATAAGAGAAAAGGCTTTTATGTATTTTGTAGATCATAATTTATAATTTCGACCACGACAGTATGCTATCCTATGATAAAGTAATACTGTTTGTGATAAACTGTTAAAAAAAAATGTTTGACAGTATTAATACTGATCACAACATTTCCAAAATATCAGCTCAAGTAGGATAAATTAACAATTAAATCAATTTTTTTTTAAAAAAGTTTTTTTTTATCAAATTCAAATCTCAACCCATATGATCCTTGTGTTATAAAAAAAAAAAAGTTATTAATAACAAATACATTGGAGTTCTTTGGGTTAACTCAAGTTAACATATAAAATATATATGGATAATCTTAAAAAAAATAAAGAGTAAAGCTCAACCTCTAATTAACTAAATATTAAAAACTAAAAATAATAAAAACAAATAGCACTTAACTAAAAAAACTAGATGAACTCAAGTCAATCATGTAAACATATGATGTAAGGCATACACATCAACAGATTTGATGAGCTTTTTATACTAAAAATTATTTTTTATTTAATTATACAACAATAAAATTTTTAAGAATTTTTTATATGAAATGTTTTTTAAAAGAAAAAAAAGTAACATGCACATGTGGCTGAGATAGCAAAATAAATTATTGATAACAAATACTGAAATTGTATTTTTTATTTATTTTTTTAGTTCTTAACTAAATACAAACATAGATCATTTATAATAAATGGTGAAAATATATTTTTTGTAAATCAAGGTAAAATAAACATTAAATAAAAATAAATAAAAATAAATAATAGTATGGATGCTACGAATTAACTCTTTTAAGCTTACTCAATAATTTTTTTTATCAAAATTTTTAACTCAAATATAAAATATTAAACCTTAAAAAAATGAAAAGAAAATGAGAGAGTTTAGGTGTGTATGCTTAGTGACCCAACATGGTTGGACATTGGAAAAAAAAAATAAAAAACAACCTAGCCCACATACTAAGCCCAACTTTTTTTTTATTTCTTAAAAAGTGAATATCTTGTCATTTGTTTTTTTTTAATAGAATCACAGATGAAATTTCATTTTTGATAGCAGATGATGCATCATTGCTTTACGTAGATTCTGTAACTAGAGGTTGCAAAAAAAAAATAGGACGTCGATTTTTTGGCTTGAAAATCTATTTTTACCCAGAATGCATATAAAACAGCTTAAATACATTAATAAATCTATTTATGCCTTAAAAACAGCTCAAAAATAGCTCAAAAAAATTAAATTAACTCAAACCTAAAATCATTACAGTTATAAGATGTGTCTCCTTAAAGAAGAAGAAGGAAAAAAAAAACTTAGATAAAACTTCTCTTATAAAATAAAAATCATTAACACCCAAAAAAAAAATTACATCATAAGTGTTGTCTGTGTTCATTATACAATCCCAATGCCAATAAATAATAACAAATGACCCATGCAAAACTAGGAAGTTTATGAAATGATTGTTATAAATTATTTTAATATATTTTTAATTAAAAACATTCTATACTACTATTATACCGTACACGCACTTTTATCACGAGATGGGTTTTTTTTTATTGATTGGAACCCATGGACCCAAAAAAATCAATGAATGCTCTAAATTATTGTTTCGATTGAAATCATAAAGCACCGTCCTATCTTGACTACCTAGTTTTGTTAATTAGGTGGCCGACATATTTATCTTCATCATCTTATCATTGCTTAGGAACAGCGACCATCAAGCTTTCTTGTTCCCAACTATTTTAGGGTTCGTTTCATTGTTTGTCCTTGTTATATATATTTATAAGCAAAGCATCTCTTCTAAGAAGTGATTATAAGAAAAATTATAGAGTTGAAAGCAGACACGCAGCTCTCCTAAATAATCAAGTCCGATTTAAGTTTGTTTTGTTTTGAAATGTTTTAATTAAACACGGATTAATTAGTATTGATCTGATTAACAATGACAAACACCCTCTTGATCTTCCGCATGTATGATCTGCATAAACTATCTTTTTATATCTGCACGTTCCAATTTATTTCGAGTATATTGCTATATATAAATGTAGTTTCGGAGAATACCAGAAATTATGGCCACTAACCTGCCACAGGTCCACGGTAGGAAACCTGTCTGCAAACACCTTCATAACATCCTTCCCAAGCGGAGCACCACCACACCCCACACTCTCCAGCGACCTCAAATCGCAAGCGTCCGTCAAGTCACTCTTTGCCATCGCTACAACCACTGGTGGCGCCACCGCCAGGTGGGTTACCATAAACTCCTCCACAGCTCTCAACATCATCTT